TTTTTATGGATTGCTTCAAAAAATTATTTTGATTATTACTCTCATCCATTATTTGATTTTGTTCAAACTTTCTTATAAGGTTTAGGGTTTAAGATTTCAAAATAATAAAAAAACAATGATGTTGATGATGACGGTGAGTTTTGGTAGGGTGGATTGGAGTTTTGGAGGGAGGATAAAGAAGAAGAAGAAGAAGGAGAAGGAGAAGAAGAAGAAGAAATAACTTTGATCTCTTGGGAAAAAAGATACAGAGATTTGAATAGGAATAACTGATTAGGGTGTATCATGGAAAAAAAAATTATTTTAGGATTTAATATGTGTTGTCTTTATCAGTAAATTCATATTAAGATATAATAGAAATTAAAATTTATAAATTTAAATTAGACGTACGGAAACATATTTTAGGTTTAAATAGAATCCCTCTCGAAGCTCTTCTATATGTTCCTAGAGATAAGCCCTGGAACATCCTTATGTATGTGAAATGAAATGCCCATTTCTAGAAGTTGTCTGTTGATGGCGCAGACGCTATGAGGGAGAATGGTTTGGGCCACTGAGGCTAACTCGAATAACAGTTTCTCAACCTCAGGCATCGGGCCTGACCCAACTATAACTGCAGCTGCACCATCACTAATTAGGGCTTGGCCCACAAGGTTGTCGAGATGGATGTCACTAGGCCCATGAAAGGTGGTTACAGTGATCTTAGAGCACACGACCAAGACCCGAGCACCTTAACAAGGTCATTAGCTAGGCGGAGCACCATGCCACCGACATAGCAGTACATCATGAGCCCGCTTGATTGATAGGCTAAGGCCAAGGAGCTTGCATGCACTACTAAAAAAGTGACTTTTTGCGTCTAGTTTTTTGCGACCCACTATTTAACCGTCGCAAAAAGAAAACATTTTTGGAAATGATCTGTGCCAAAAGGCATATTTTACCCCTATTTTTTATTTCCTTTACTGACCCCAATTTATTTTGCCCTTTTATTACACTCACCTATGCCTAAGCCCCTTTCACTGTCATTTTCACGACGATGATAAACAGAGAGGTCTCTCTCGCGCTCTCTGTCTCTCTCGCTCTCTTTGCTCGCCATGGTCGTAACTCTAGTGGTATGAATCTCTCTCTCTCTCCTTTCTCTCTCTATATATACATACATATTTGTATATTTATATATGTATATATATTGTGGATTGCAGGTAGAGTTCTTCATATGCTTGGTATTGACGATCTTAGGCTACATTCCTGGAATAGTTTACGCTCTCTATGCGATGCTCTATGTCGATCGTGATATGACTCGCGCCGATTACCGTCTACTCGCCTAGTCTGTGTGTGTGTGGAAATCTGTGTGTTTAGCTGTAATCTCACGGTATTATACTCTGGCCCTATGTGTGAAATCAATTTGAATGAGTTTAAACTCTTGCTATTGTATTGAATCGCTTTGATTTAATTCTATTCTTCTCTTATTTATTTCTATTTCAAATACCTGTGTATAGATTTTGGAGTGATTTGAACTCATGATTGATCTAACTCTCTCTCAGCTACGAAGCTTTGGTTCGAATCAATCCTTTTGCTATATTTTCATGTGTGTGTGTATATATATATATATATATATATATGTGTGTGTGTTCATTCATTGTTGAGTAACTTTGATTTATATCGAGATTCACATATTTTTCTGATCTGTTTTTAATTTTCATCTATATATCTTTACTGTAAGTTCGATAGTCATGATCGGTGATGGATTTCTATGGTTCTACATGTATAGAAATTGGATTGGCGTGTGTTCTGTTTTAACTTAATCGAAGTTTAATTTATAATTTATTTTTGTTTGTATCCATGTGATTTTGCAGTGATTGCTCATGGAATCAATGCCGCAGATGTGAAGAAGCTTCAAGATGTTGGGATCTACACTTGCAATGGCTTGATGATGCACACGAAGAATGTACATTGATTTTCAATTTCGATTTTGTGAAGTTTTTAAGATTGGCATTTGCATTGAGGTTAAGGTAGCCAAAACACGTTTGATGATTTTGTAGATCAACTGATACTCAATTGGAAGAAAACTTGTATATATATATATATGTATTTGAAATGTTTAGTTGAATTAATACGTGCTGAAAATTTGATCATATTTTTTGCTATGTTAAATTAAATCTAAGATTTGGACTTTTGAATTGGTCATGCTAACAAAAAACAACTACATTTATTTGTTATTTATTTTAGATTTTTGATCATTTGATCAAATTCTCCTAAAACAAAACTAATTGGTACATGTATATATGTACCAGATCTAGTGCAATGCATTTTCAAGCTCTCTCTATAGTTTTCAATATCAATTTAAGTTTGATGAAGCTCAAAAGTAATTTAGATCTTAATTAAATGATGAATTACTTGCTACTGATATCTTTCTCACTTTTGAATTTGAATTCGATTCATATAGCTAAATGCATGGAGTATTGAATATTAGTATGCATAGGAAATACACAAAAAAGTTAATTTGTTCATCAATTTTTTACTTGGATCGATGTTGGTTTGTATTTTCTTATCTCAGTTGATACATTCGTGAGGGCTTTGCACACTCTTCTCTGTCCTTCCCTCCGCACTTAGTAGAGTGATTTTTTATTTGGATCAATTTCTTTTGCTAGGTAAAATTTACTACTACAGTTCAATTTGGTCACTATTTACCATGATCCAAGAGTTCCAACTGAAAATTGCAGGTCATTCAAGATTTTGCTTCATTGTTTGAATTCATTATTGTACGAGGAATTCCATTCTTGCAAATTTTTGAACATGCAAATTTGGATTTAATAATCTACTATTATGACTAAAGCCTGCACTATGTAACTTTACTGCAATTTCTCGTATTTGGAGTACATCGAGCTTGAAGATGCTTTACATTATAATTTTTCATGATTTCACTGCAATCCATGATAATCCCCTGAAAAATCTCTCTTTTAGATGTGGACTCGTTAACCTTTTTGTTTTTTATCTCAACTAATCTATGGAAGGGACAATCAATGGAGATTGGGAAAGAGAATCCAGATATATTTTTTACAGACCGTGAAGGAAGAAGAAATACTGAATGCCTATCTTGGGGCATTGATAAAGAACGAATACTAAAAGGAAAAAGTGCTATAGAGGTATTACATTATCAATTATTTTTTGGTACTTGTCATCTCTTTTTATTCTGAACAAAATTTTTAAAATTTATCAATGTTTTTCTTTATTTCAATTGTAACTCCATAGTCCAAGCCTCATTTGTTTCAGGGCATGATTATGTTCAGTTGCAAAATTGATTTTTCATATTTCATAAATTTCATGTGGGCGTGACCAAAGCATGGTAGTCATCTTTTATTTCTTTCTCATGTGCTGGGATGCACAGGCCCTTTAATACTCTCAGCTTAGTATTGTTCTTTGTAACTTACCTTTATTAAATTGAACATGCTTAATTCTCTTCTGATATATTTAAATCTGGTTGTGTCCTTGATAACATTAATCTTTTTAGACCTTACCCCCTATTTTATCACTTTGTTGAACTTGTAAAAATTCAGTGGTCAATTTTTCTAATATTACTTCGTAGTCAATTCTGACCTGTTTGTTTTCTACTTGTCTGAAGATTGGTACATGCCTTGGACGTATAACTTGTGAGGAGAATCCTTATTAAGCCTCTTCTCTTAGTGGGTAGTGTAATTGTTGTTGGGATTTACACCTTCAGTTAGTCTGTATGTGAGCCTCTGACAAATTTATAGTGATATTGCAATTCTGTCTTTTGGAAGTGAGGGTCAAATAACAGGTGTCCTGGTGTAGATATTTTTAGTTCTAAGGGACTAACTTTATGGATTCTTAGTTCATTGCTATCTTATCTGACAAAGGTTCTTGAAGCTCATAGGGTAGGTGTACATGACATCATTTCTGTTTTGTGTTTTAAATCTTGTTTCATCTTTGAAATTCATCGATGTATTTAAACATGCCAGATATATTTAGTAACTTAGATATGCCAGATATATTTAAATTCCTTGTAGGATAAATTTGGGGTGAAAAGAAGTTTTTAGGATGGAATGCATAATGTCGGTCTCTCTGAGCATATTAACAGAGTCATCAAAGCCATGTATATATATAGACAAATTGTATGTGTTTTGTTTATCGGGCCTGAGCCAAACTGTCTCTCTTTCTAAAAGGGTTCCTATATTATGGGCAATCAGATGTTAATTTGGTGATTTCATTCAACATACATGTCAAGCAAGGGCTTTTTCAATTTCTCTTAAGCTCCTGTGTCAATTACCCAAGTAGACAAATATGATCATCTTGTTGGTGTAACCAAATTGCTTTTATAGTTCCATGGTTGCATACCTTGCTCCTAGTTTATCATTCTCTTCTGAATTCTCATAGTAGGACTTTTGCATATGATCTAGTGATAGTTCTTGCAACACCTTTGTTTTACAGCATAGTTGTGAAGATTTTGCTCTTCCATTCTTCATATATTTTCTTGGTCCTCACAATCTTAATCATTCTAGTCAGCCAAACAGTACCATCATTATTTGCCCTCTCAACGTTACTCATTGGCTTTGAGCTGTGGACCTTTCTTCTTGAAATGTTATATGACATGTTTTTAATCATAGCCATGCTTCTTGAATTTCTGACATGATTATTGCTTTGCCAAACTGACATCTACAGAAATGTAAAAACTGATTTTTATGATTCTGTTTTCCTCACAATATTTCTGAAATATGCACTAATGCAGGGGATCACTACCTAAAACCATTTGTAATACCGAAACTAGAAGTCAGAGTGAGCAGAAGAACTAGTGCAGATGAACCTCTATTTTTCTAGAAATAGAGATTTGGATGTTAGCATGGTTCTATATTGAGAAATGCTATATCTCAACTGATAGTTATATGAGAATAAATTATACATATTTAAACCATGGGTTCTTATTTAGATATCAACACTACACAGCTCTCCAAATAATCATAGTGCACCTGATAGCTTATAATCATTGAAATTAGATTTTTTATCAAGCATTTGAATAAAATTTGTTTACAAATGGTTATGTGATTATGTCAAGAACCAAGGGCTTGATCAAATAAATTGAGCAACATATTCTTTTGTTGATGATAATCCTCTCAAATTCTATATTAGGCGTATCAATGGCATCACTGACGGAACTTTCTTTCCACTGGACTGGTTTCATTAGTGCGATGATTTCAAATATTGCATTCACTTACAGGAGTATCTATTCAAAGAAGCAATGGTAATGTCTTTCACATGTAATTATTCTTAGTATTCTAAATTGTGGTTTTAATTTTATGGAATGGAAGAGTGTGGAAGAACACAATTAAGGTCCCCTGCTTGACCTTTAATAATGCTTGATTATCTCTTATGTTGCTTTTGACTTTTCTAAATGCAAGAAGTAATGGTGTTGAACACTTGACACGCGTAAGACTTAAAAGAGTACAGGATTTGTGTCCAATGTGCCTAGTTGGACATGCACCCAGTATCTCTTGCTTAGTCTATTAGGTAAGTTTTATAACACTAAACTTTACTGACTAATATCTTTTTATATTGTGAGTGACAATGTTAATATCAATTTGGTATAAATATAAAATTGTGGAAAGGTTCTTTCTTTGAATAATGGTTAATAAGATTGTGACAGGATACTTCTCTTACTCTTCCCTAAACCAAAGCATACATGATTAGTCAAAACTGTAAGCTTATATAGACTAACAACACTAACTAATATAAGCATGGATCAAGTTCATAATCCTATGTTGAACAAACTTTTAACTTCAAGAAGTGCTTGTGGTAACTTATTTTCAAATCTCTAATTTAGCATCTCAGGCCATGTCAGGTTCTATAACAAACCTAATATTCAGTCATAATCCTATGTTCTCTATATACAGTGTGCCTGCAAGTTTGTGTGTGTAGGCTAGACCTTAGTACACGGAGATAAAATAAAGGACAATTAAATTAACAGTGATGGTGTACTCTATATGTGACTAATTGGTTTTAAATCAAAATTAAAATATAGGATATATACATGGGGTTGATGATTGATCTATGCCATAAGTTTGATCCAAATAAAAAATGAAAATAGTGTGATAAGAGTGTAAGCTATCTTCTTTGATGATATCAATGCACATGAAAACATTTTGAACTTCCATGAAGTACATAACTTTCTCCCAATTTTTGAGGTCTTCTATGATGGTTGTTTGTCTCTTCTTCAGTGATCTTGGAAATGCAGCATTATCTGGCCAATTTTTGGTCCCTCAGCTTGGCCAG